CATGAAAGATCTCATTTGCATAAAGATTCAGAGTGGAGTTTCAGATGGGGGCGACATGGAAACATTTGAAAACTTTGATTTGGAAACTTTTGGCATCTGTGTGGAGTGTGGTCCAGCCTGGGCGGTGAGATGCAATTCTGAGGTACCCAGTTGCTAAGCTGGGTTGGCTGGATGTCTCTTTGGCTTTGCAGTGTTTTGTAGCACAGGTCCTCTGTCAGACAGCCAGGCGAGGTCCAGCCACTGCAAGAAACACCCCCAAGGTCTCCATGCCGACTCAGTGGATGTCCAGTCTTCTCTCTTGCACAGTTCTTTGTGAGTCTTTGTAGCTTTGCAGGGTTGGGTCGCTGCCCTCGATCCCCAGCTGTGAGGATTGTGAGGGCCACATGTGCCGTCATGTTCTCTGCCGATGTGCCCGGGGTTGACAGTTCTGTGCTCTGGCTTCAGTGGTCACAGTGCTTTTGCTTATGCTTTACTGGCCAAACCAGGTCACATGGCCATGCCTCATTTCAAGGGAGTGGGAACAAATTCTGCTACAGGGTTTTTTTTTTTTTGGTCAAGAGAACAAAAGTGCCTGGCAACATGCATTAATTATAACGTGGCTTATGTGTTAACACTTGAAGCGTCTCAAGGTTGGGAGATGATCCGTGACTCAGAAGCTGTCTCTGACTAGCAAACAGGAAACAGAAAGTGACTGAAGCGAAAGAGCAGGAAGCTGAGCATCCTGAGTCAGCAATGCATTCGGCTGTCCAGGGTGCAGAATGCAAGTGGAGACAGTGGGCTCCTCTCCCACCTCCTCTTCTGGCCAGCTGCGTGACTAAGCAGTCCCATCCCACCTCGGTCCCAGTTTCCTCCCCTGTAAAATGGGAATGGTAACATTAACTATGGCAAAGGGTTGCCTGAATTAACACAGGTGAAGAGCATAGGGCAGTGCCTGATGTGGGTGAAATGCTCAGTAAATGTTACCCGTCATTATTTTGCTTTGCCCTTTACCTCTTGAGTTGGCTATAAATCCCTACAACCACAGGATGCTCTCGAGCATTCAACCTGTGTGGCTGAAAGTGTGAGTCTCTGGGGGCAGCAGTCAGGGAAGGGTGTGATGACTCAGAAGCTGGAGAAGCTGATTCTGCCTTCCCTCTAGGCTCCTGTGTGACACTAAGTCCTAATGGAATGACAGAGACTCAGAATCCCTGTGCACATTTTCTGCAAAGCTATTGGTGGAAATCCTTCCTTCTGGGCTTTGGCCTGGGAGGTTCCTTTCAGAGACTTGCAGCCTCAGAACTTTGAAAGAGCAAAACCAAAGCAAAGGGCTCCCCTGGGAGCCCTGGGAAATGGTGCTGTGCACCTTAGAGAGGAAACTTGCTGTCTCTTCCTTTAGGCAGGGAAATAAATGGAATTGTATAAGCCACCTTGCAGCGATCTGAGAATCCCAGATTCTCAGATGAGTCCTGCAAATATGCAGGTTGCATTGAGACATTAAAATTCTCTAAATAGGGCGTCTTATCACTTGTGTATTCATATGTTGCTGCAGCCAAACCATGAATTTTCTGATTTCGTCACACCCTGATAAGATTAAAAAAACAGTTATATGCATTCTCGCTGGCTGGATCACAAAAGTAATTTCTCATACAATCGAAATCTGTATTTTAATGAGTTTCTTCAGGCATAATCTCTCTGGGAGCTGTCTGTGAGTCTGCATTGCATGTGTGACCTGAGAACCTGGCATTTTAGACCTTGAGCAGCAGGAGACGATGCCACTCTCTCCATCATTGTTGACTGAATCATGGTGAAATCTCCCGATGGGTAGAGTGATGGCCTCATCTGCATGAATATATGCATATTTGAAATGCTAAGGTCAGACAGGACTGACTCCCCAAGCATGGCATGGAGGTGCGGGGGTGACATTTACAACACCCAGAGGGCTGTGGGCCAGGCTCAGGGAAGAAGTTTGAGGGCCTTCGGAGCTCAGAAATTAGGGCACTTTCCTCAGGATCAGGGAGAGTCGAGGGTATCTGGAAAGCGGTGCCTTCATCTCTGCAAAAAAGAGTCTATCCTGAAGGGTCAAGGGCAGATCCCTAGACAGCACCCAAGGACTACTTTAGGGAGATAAGGATGCGTGAAAGCCCTGCTGAAGGCAGCGGCTCCAGAAGTGAGGTTTCCAAACCAGCATCTATCACCCCAGGACGAGGCCTCGCAAACAGAAACAGCCTCACTTCATTGGGAAATGGTACACAGAGCGGGAGGGACTTTATGTGGACCAGGTAAAGACAGAAGTGGAAAATGATCAGAACTTCCCAGACTGCATCTCAGGGCACAGCTGTGATGGTTCTCAGGATGCTGATACCCACTCCCCATGCTGCCCTTTTTCAGGAAGGCCCTGAGGCATCTGCCTTGGAAGGAGAGGTTCCTACCAGCCTTGCAGCTTGCCAGTGGTGATCCTTGTGGGGTCCTACCATCCTTGCATGATTTTTAATTTGAATCTATGATTCAGAAACGTGAATTAGGGACCTTGCCTCTCTTCCTCCCTTACAGGCTCCATGTCCCTCATGGCTCTGTCCATTTTTCCTTGAAAACAAATTGGTGTGGTAACTAAGTCTGATATCAGTGGCAACCGGCAGCAGAAGTAATTCTAAGCTAGAATTAAGGGAGGGAGATGGGCTTCCTTGTAACCCGTAACTTTCCAGACCTCTGAAAGATTCTGTTTAAACCTCTTCCAACAATCATTACGTCTTCTGCAATCTGGACTCATCAGTTATAGAACCTTGTGAGTACCTTTCAGCGAGAGGACTCCTCTTGGTTTGAGGCTAGGTGTGGAGGAAAACTATGTGGGCAGCAGGTTGGGGGATCGTTTGTGTATCCTGGGGTGCAGTAATTTATCCCTACTTCTTTTCCCCCAACCACACAGCAAACTTTGATGGCAAGAATTGCCTTCCTTTCAGTCCCTATTTCTTAGCCTCATATCCAACACATAACTGATGCTCAGTAATTATTTATTTAGTGAATTGCGAGCTGCAAGCAATAAACCTCATGAAAACAAGGCATATGCCTTTATCTGTGAGCGCTTCATTAATTCACTACTCGGTTTATATCCTGAATGTAAATTTACTCAATTTATATCAGATAAAGGCTGAGGAATAAACCTGTCTTGGGCCCTACGGTCTTTAGAGCTTTTCCATTTTGGCTGCTTCCTCCTCTTGACCTCAGACTTGGGCAGGAGTTCTTGGAGTTGGGGTCCAGATCTCCCAGATGAGGCTTCAAACCTCGCCTTCCTTCCATCAAAGGGCCTGCTACCGGGTCCCTTCCATGGGGTTCCTCGCTCCCTCCGGCTCATCACAGTTGTAGTGAGAGGTTACAGACTGGGCTATTCCGGGGATTTTAAATAGATGGTAACACTTAGGCTCTTCTATTCTTGCATGGTGTTTGTGGTGTGTGGTGAGAATGGGGGCAGGGCCACGTCTCAGGGAGGAACTCAGTCGAGTGTCATGCATACAGACTGGTGTTAACTTCAGCTCTATTAAACATCTTTATTAATAATCCAGAAGTGGGGTATAAACAGAACATTAATTAAATGCCTGAATACTAAATTGGGAGGTGTTACAAAAGATGGACTAATCACTTTATCATTTACTCAGCATGCAGAACTTGTATAATTTGTTGTATTTAATGGATAAAAGTGGGACATTTCTTTGTTGACAACTCTATTGGCTCTGTGTGTAGCGGGCATTTTGGTTGAGTTTCTTTATGTGCATATTCTTATTTCTTGCACCTTTCTATTTAGGTTAGTTTCAGGATGATGAGTCATCCTATTTGTATATTAAGGAATCAAGTAGAATGCAAATGTTTTGGAAGAGTGAGGTGGAATAAACAGAAGCAAGAACAGAGAATAACATGCAGTAGTGGAGGCCAGCTGAGTCGATTGCTTGGAGACCCAAGTCCTCTCTCCTGACTCCTGTGGGGTCTGTTCTGTTTTCTCAGACTGCACCTGTTCTTCTAGCAAGTGAAGTGCCTCACGGAGTTACCTCTTTGGAAGGGCTTGCTAAGAGCAGTCTTAAACTCAGCACATACTTTATTCCATGGCCGTGAGTATGAAATGCAGTGATATTCTTGAAATAATTTTGTGAACTGTAAAACTGCAAAAGTTAGTTTGACATTGGATTAATTCTCACAGAATGAGGAATGCTATTGCTGTGCATATGAAGCACTCCACATAATTACCAGCAGAATGGCCAAGAACGTTTCGAAATATGGATAGGAAATTCAGTCTGGAAAAATGCTAGTAAATACTTAGGGACATTAGAAAATTGGCAGGGTTTTGAGTTGGCAAAATTAATCCAACTATTTTTCAAATGCTTGGGTTCAACAAACTAAAATGAGTTTGCCAAGCACCTTTTCTTATAAATTTCGCAGTCTTTGTTTGTTTCCGCTAGCACGTGATCCATAAGCTTCTGATTCATTGACACTTAATTCACTAAAAGACTATTTGTTAGCAGAGCAGCAATCAGATGTTTTGGAAACCTGCTTGGCCCACTGCAAAGACGCTGCCCAGATTCTGTTCTTCAGAATCTTTGCTAGCTGGGTACATAATAGACATCTGAGCGTATTTAAGAATTGTTTTGTCAAACTCCTATCATTTTTTTAAAATTTTTTATTGCATTTTAGGTTTTGGGGTCCATGTGCAGAACATGCGAGACAGTTGCATAGGTACACACATGGCAGTGTGTTTTGCTTCCTTTCTCCCCTTCACCCACATTTGGCATTTCTCCCCTATCATTTTAAACTTCTTGTTATGCTTCTTCCATGTTGTACACACTGTCATTCCCAGTATTCAACAGGAACGTTTTTATTATGCTCTAAGTTCTGGGACACATGTGCAGAATGTACAGGTTTGTTACATAGGTATACAGGTGCTATGGTGGTTTGCTGCACCCATCAACCTATCGTCTACATTAGGTGTTTCTCCCAGTGCTATCCCTGCCCCACCCCCCACCCCTGACAGGCCCCAATGTGTGATGTTCCCTTCCCTGTGTCCATGTGTTCTTATTGTTCAACTCTCACTTACGAGTGAGAACATGGAGTGTTTGGTTTTCTGTTCTTATGTTATTTTGCTGAGAATGATGGTTTCCAGCTTCATCCATATCCCTGCAAAGGACATGAACTCATCCTTTTTGTGGCTACATAGTATTCCATGGTGCATACGTGCCACATTTTCATTATGCAGTGTATCACTGATGGCATTTGGGTTGGTTCCAGGTCTTTGCTATTGTGAATAGTGCTGCAGTAAACATTCGTGTGCATGTGTCTTTACAGTAGAATGATTTATAATCCTTTGGGTATATACCCAGTAGTGGGATGGCTGGGTCAAATGGAATTGTTGGTTTTATCACCACACTGTCTTCCACAGTGGTTGAACTAATTTGCACTCCCATCCACAGTGTAAAAGTGTTCCTATTTCTCCATAACCTCTCCAGCATCTGTTGTTTTCTGACTTTTTAATTATCACCATTCTAACTGGCGTGAAATGGTATCTCATCATGGCTTTGATGTACATTTCTCTAGTGACCAGTAATGATGAGCTTTTTAAAAATATATATTTGTTGGCCACATAAATGTCTGCTTTTGAAAAGTGTCTGTTCATATCCTTTGCCCAGTTTTTGGTGGGGTTGTTTGTTTTTTTTTCTTGTAAATTTGTTTAAGTTCCTTGTAGATTCTGGATATTAGCTCTTTGTCACATGGATAGATTGCAAAAATTTTCTGCAATTCTATAGGTTACCTGTTCACTTTGATGATAGTTGCTTTTGCTGTGCAGAAGCTCTTTTGTTTAATTAGATCCCATTTGTCAATTATGGCTTTTGTTGCCATTGCTTTGGTGTTTTAGTCATGGAATCTTTACCCATGCCTATGTCCTGAATGGTACTGTTTAGGTTTTCTTCTAGGGTTTTTATGGTTTTAGGTCTTATGTTTAAGTCTTTAATCTATCTTGAGTTAATTTTTGTATATGGCGTAAGAAAGGGGTCCAGTTTCTTTTCTGCATATGGCTAACCAGTTTTTCCAACATCATTTATTAAGTAGGGAATCCTTACCCCATTGCTTGTTTTTGTCAGGCTTGTCAAAGATTAGATGATTGTAGATGTGTGATGTTATTTCTGAGGCCTCTGTTCTGTTCCATTGGTCTATATATCTGTTTTGGTACTGGTACCATGCTGTTTTGGTTACTGTAGCCTTGTAGTATAGTTTGAAGTCAGGTAGCATGATACTTCCAGCTTTGTTCTTTTTGCTTAGGATTGTCTTGGCTATACAGGCTCTTTTCTGGTTCCATATGAAATGTAAAATAGTTTTTTTCTAATTCTGCAAAGAAAGTCAATAGTAGCTTGATGGGGATAGCATTGAATCTATAAATTACTTTGGGCAGTGTGGCCATTTTCATGATATTGATTCTTCCTATCCATGAGTGTGGAATGTTTTTCCATCTGTTTGTGTCTTCTCTTATTTCCTTGAGAAGTGGTTTATAGTTCTCCTTGAAGAGGTCCTTCACATTTCTTGTTAGTTATACTCCTATGTATTTAATTCTCTTTGTAGCAGTTGTGAATGGGAGTTCACTCATGATTTGGCTCTCTATTGTTGGTGTATAGGAATGCTTGTGATTTTTGCACATTGGTTTTATATCCTCAGACTTTGCTGAAGTTGCTTATCAGCTTAAGGAGATTTGGGGCTGAGACAATGGGGTTTTCAAAATATACAATCATGTCATCTGCAAACAGAGACAATTTGACTCTTTGTCTTTGTCTTTTTTAATCTTTGTTGGTTTAAAGTCTGTTTTACCAGAGACTAGGATTGCAACCCTGCTTTTTTTTCTTTTGCTTTGAGCCTATGTGTGTCTTTGCACATGAGATTGGTCTCCTGAATACAGCACACTGATGGGTCTTGACTGTTTATCCAATTTGCCAGTCTGTTCATTTTGATTGGGGCATATTTAAGGTTAATATATGTGAATTGGATCCTGTCATTATGATGCTAACTGGTTATTTTGCCCATTAGTTGATGTGTTTTCTTCATAGTGTCAATGGCCTTTACAATTTGGTATGTTTTTGCAGTGGCTGGTACTGGTTGTTCCTTTCCATATTTAGTGCTTCCTTCAGGATCTCTTGTAAGGCAGGCCTGATGGTGACAGAATCTCTCAGCATTTGCTTGTCTGTAAAGTGTTTATTTCTCCTTCTCTTCTGAAACTTAGTTTGGCTGGATATGAAATTCTTGATTGAAAATTTTTTTCTTTAAAAATGTTTAATATTGGCCTCCACTCTCTTCTGGCTTGTAGGGTTTCTGCAGAGAGATCTGCTGTGAGTCTGATAGGCTTCCCCTTGTGGGTAACCCAACCTTTGTCTCTGGCTGCTCTTAACATTTTTTCCTTCATTTCAACCTTGGTGAATCTGATGATTATGTGGTCTTGGGGTGGCTCTTCTCGAGGAGTGTATTTGTGGTGTTCTCTGTATTTCCTGAACTTGAATGGTGGCCTGCCTTTCTAGGTTGGGGAAGTTCTCCTGGATAATATCTTGAAGAGTGTTTTCCAACTTGGTTGCATTCTGCCTGTCACTTTCAGGTATACCAATCAAACGTAGGTTTGGTCTTTTCATATAGTCCCATATTTCTTGGAGGCTTTCTTTATTTCTTTTCACTCTTTGTTCTCTAATCTTGTCTTCATGCTTAATGTCATTAAGTTGATTTTCAATCCCTGATATCCTTTCTTCTACTTGATTGATTTGGCTATTGATACTTGTGTATGCTTCACAAAGTTGTTGAGTTGTGTTTTTCAGCTCCATCAGGTCATTAATGTTCTTTTCTAAACTGGTTATTCTAGTTAGCAATTCCTCTAACCTTTTTTGAATGTTCTTAGCTTCCTTGCATTGGGTTAGAACCTGCTCCTTTAGCTTGGAGAAGTTTTTTATTATCCACCTTCTGAAGCCTATTTCTGTCAATTGGTCAAACTGATTCTCTGTACAGTTTTGTTCCCTTGCTGGTGAAGAGTTGTTACCCTTTGGAGGAGAAGAGGTGTTCTGGTTTTTGGAATTTTCAGTCTTTTTTTTTTTGCTGTTTATTGCTCATCTAAATGGATTTATCTATCTTTGGTCTTTGATGTTGGTGATCTTCGGATGGGGTTTTATGTGGACAGCCTTTTCACTGATGTTGATGCTAATCCTTTCTGTTTGTTAGTTTTCCTTCTATCAGTCAGGCCTCCCTGCTGCAGGTTTGCTGGAGTTTGCTGGAAGTCCACTCCAGATCCTGTTTGTCTGGGTATCGCCAGTGAAGGCTGTGGAATCGAATAGATTGATGCCTGTTCCTTCCTCCAGAAGCTTCGTCCCAGAGGAGCACCCAGCAGATGCCAGTTGGAGCTCTCCTGTATGAAGTGTCTGTGAACCCCTGCTGGGAGGTGTTTCCCAGTCAGGAGGCACAGGGGTCAGGGACTCCCTTGAGGTGGCATTCTGTCCCTTAGCAGAGCTGGAGTACTGTGCTGGGAGATCTTGGCTCTCTTGAGAGCTGGCAGGCAGGAACATTTAATTCTGCTCAAGCTACACCCACTGTGGCCTCTTCCTGCAGGTGCTCTGTCCCAGGGAGATGGGAGTTTTATCTGTAAGCCCCTGACTGGGGCTTTCTTTCAGAGATACCCTGCCCAGAGAGGAGGAATTCAGAGAGGCAGTGTGGCTACATACAGTGGCTTTGCTGAGCTGCGCTGGGCTCTGCCCAGTTCAGACTTCCTGGCATGTTTGTTTACAACGTGAGGGGAACACCGCCTACTCAAGCCTCAGTAATGGTGGATGCCTCTCCCCCCACCAAGCTCAGGTGTCCCAGGTTGACTTCAGACTGCTGTGCTGGCAGTAAGAATTTCTAGCCAGTGGATCTTAGCTTGTTGGGTTCCATGGGGGTGGGATCCACTGAGCTAGACTACTTGGCTCCCTGGCTTCTGCCCTTTTTCCAGGGCAGTGAATAGTTCCATCTCACTGGCATTCCAGGTGCCACTGGGGTATGAATAAGCCTCCTGCAGCTAGCCATTGTCTGCCCACATGGCCGCCCAGTTTTGTGCTTGAAACCCAGGACACTGATGGTGTAGGCACCCAAGGGAATCTCCTGGTCTCCAGGTTGGGAAGACCATGGGAAAAACATAGTGTCTGGGCCACAATGCACCATTCGTCACAGCACAGTCCCTCACAGCTTCCCTTGGCTAGGGGAGGGAGTTCCCCAACCCCTTGCACTTTCTGGGTAAGGCGATGCCCCACCCTGCTTCGGCTCACCCTCCACGGGCTGCACCTACCGTCTAACCAGTCCCAATGAGATAAGCCAGGTACCTGAGTTGGTAATGCAGAAATCGCCCACCTTCTGCATTGATGTCTGGGAGCTGCAGACTGGAGCTGTTCCTGTTTGGCCATATTGCCCAGGTCCCCTGGAATATTTTAAATATATACGTGATTGATTCCTGTGATTCATTCTTCTTCCTCTTAGTAGTTCTGACTTAGAAGGTTTAAACACAAGGATATTCACTAGTTACAGATGAGATTAGAAACGTTACTAATGGGAAGATAGGTAGGAGAATGCAGCTCAGAGCTGGGGCTTTGGAGAGCTTGCTGCTCCTTGACCCTCCATGGGTGGATTTCGGCCTTGCTTGTCTGGGGCACACTGTGAAATGCAGGCTGGCAAGAGCGTGGGCCTGGCCAGGCCTGCAGACCCTGTCCATGTGCGTCCAGCTGAGGAGGCTGGATTCTGTGTTGGCATTTACTGGTCATTTTTGTTTATCATCTCTCCCCTCTCCTTCCCAAGGGGAGGAGACAGTTCTGGCGAGACAGGAGCCAGAAGGTTTGATCTCAGTACTGCTGCCCTCTGGGAAGTCAAGAGAGGTCCGTTTTCTCTCACAGAGAGAGATGGGTGCCAGTATCCCACCAAATTCTTTAGGGCAGGCCACATGGGTGCCACTAGCCTCCTTGGAGGTCACGCCTGCCTCTTCTGGCTTTGTGCTGGTCACTCTTCCCATCTCACCACTTGGGGCTGGCTCAGGCTGAGGAGCTTCTCTTCCAAGGTGGAGAATGTGAGGGTCAGAGACAGAAGGTTCGTGACTGTGGACTCTACCCTCTGACCCACTCTGGGGAAGCTGGTGGGGACTTGCATCTGAGTGCTTGAGGAAGAGATGGGATGTGCAGGGAAGAGGCTGGGAGGAGGAGGAAGTCATTTGTGTCCAGCATCTTCCATGCCAGTACTGAGCTAAACTTGCATGGGCACATTGAAAAGGAGGGTGCAGCCCCAGGCGTGGCTGGAGAGAGCTCTGTGTCTTCACTTTCCACAGCCTGTGTTTCAACAGAGCACAGAGGGAAACGGAACTCATTTTCCCTTTTTTAATATAACATTCCATCTCCATAATTAAAGGGATACAAAATACACTGTGGGAATTTTAGGAAATTCTGAAACATGAACTAGAGGAAAACCCCAAAGATTAGTCTGTAACCCACCTCTCCAGAGATGTCATTAGCATTTTTCTTTATTTCCTTCCAGTCTGTTTTCTAGTTGTGTTTTTATGTAGAAGGAGTAGTGTACATTTATGTCAACTTAGGGCCACACTGTGTAAGCAGTTTTATATTTTGCAGGTAACTTTTAGTATCATAGGCCCTTTTCTATGCCTTTAGATATTTCCCAACAGCCCATTCTTTAATGGCAGGCTAACATTTCATTCTTGTTTCCAAATTTGCAGCATGGTAATTATGACTTAATTACTCTCCCTGTGTGTGCATACTGTCAGTCTTTGACTTTTCTTTAGGATAAATTCCTGGAGATGAAGTTATGGGGTCAACTGGTAGAACACTTTTGAGCTTTTTTCCCACCAAGTGTATATTGCTGCTCTATGTCAAAGAACTCGAGATATAGTCGCCACTTTAAGAATGTCCATTTCTCTGCACTTTGGTGGCACAGTGTATTATGTCTTATGATGATGATTTTTAGAGATGGAGTCTCATTGTATAGCTCAGGCTGGACTCAAAGTCCTGGGCCCAAGCGATCCTCCTGTATTAGCCTCCCAAGTAGCTGGGACTACAGCCGTGTGCCACTTGTATTATTATTTTTAAGTCCCTTCTCTTATGTTTGATGCAATTTAAATTCTGTTGTTAAGGAAGCTAAGTTGGTGAGACGAGACAGTTGTTCCTCAAGACACAGCCAGCTGCGGGGGCCCGTGTGCCCACCAAGTTCCCCCTGGTGTTCCTTTGAGGTGCCTGTCCCCCTCCTGGGAACATGGCCAGGTCCCTTTCTGCCCTCAGCCACGGTGTGGGCTCCTGTCTGCACCCCCACCTTCCCGTGGCTGCTCACCACACTTTCTGCCCCCAAGTCCCTGCTGAAAGGCCCAGGGACATCTCCAGTCGCAGAGCCTGCTCCTAGCTCAGAGGTTGTTTGCTCATCAGGTCTGCAGCACTGGGCTTCTCTTCTGCATGAGCATGCTGGTCTGGGAGATTTTATTGAAATTGGAGTTTGGAGGTGTAGGAGAGTGCGGCTGAGCTGTGGCCGTTCCCACAGATGCCCCATCAGTGTCCTTCTGAGGCACCTTCACCCCAGCCTGCAAATCAGGGCCATAGGAGAGTTGGAGAGGCTCAGCCACTCGGCACAGGAGTCCTGGCACCATGCCAGAAGTGATGGCATCTGGGGGCAGAGGACCCACGGCGCTTTGCACTACATTCGCTTCGCACGTCCTCCGCCAGGAGGAGAGCTTTTCCTTTTTCATTGTAAATGAGAAATTCTTTCCAAAATAAGATAGAGCATCACCAACTTCAGGAAGCCAAAGCAACCCAACTGAATTGTATAAATATATGTCTACACATAAGGTGGAAAATAGATGCAGAATACAGTGACACACAGTGACACAGTTGATGGGACCCAGCAAAGCCTGTGGTGGAAAACTCTCCCCCTCATCCACTGATGTCCAAAGGTCTCCTTTGAAAGCACTGCCTCCTCCTCCCCCAGCACGGCTGCACTTCCCTTTGACCTGGATGCCTCCCACCACCCTGCACACTGGGCAGAGTGGGCCGCCCCCCCCTCACTCTATCTGAGAGGTTCTGTACCCCATGTTCTGACCCTGTAGCAGTCCTCCTCCTCTATGTGTCGGGCCAGTGCTGCCTCAGCCCCCGAACTCCAAACACACCCACATCCCACTCTTCCTGTCGTCCGCTTTTCTTGTCTCCATGGCCGGGGATTGGAGGGTGAGAAGAAAGATGTATTGACTTTTCTCTCTTCTTTAGTTCGAATATCTCTGCACGAACACATTTGACACTTTTTCCAAACCTCTGCTTCCTAAGGGGATGGAGGATGGAGGAGAGAACTGGGCTGTTTTATCTTCATGCCTGCAAATGAATTATGCATTTGGCAACCTTTCTATTTTAACCGTCCCATTTCAGTTGCCCCATAGGGGTAAACTTTCTAGGATTCTAAACCAGAAAAATAGTTCAGGAGGATATTACTGAGAAATACGTAACCTCCATATAAATGAAAATTAGTATCTTGGTATCCTGAGCTCAAGGGGTGAAAGCAGGCATTGGGTCTGCCTTCACCTGTGTCCTGGCACTGACCCTCTGGATTCAGATCATGAGATGCTGGGCTGGGCTGTGGGGTCACTTGCAGCCACTTGTTGGATTTTTCTTTAGTTCATCTCAGGAGCCCCTTGGGCGTGGATTCTCTGGTATCTCCTGATTGCCTGGAGTTTTCATAATTGGCTCGGAACTCATCATTCAGCAGATGGTACTTAAGACTGGAGGAGTAGCCCCCTGTGAGCTTAAGAGACTCTAACAACGAGTGTGAAGGGGATGTCCCCAATAAACCAGTTAAATAGGACTCAGAGGGGAAAGCTTCATCTTCATCAGCTTGCATACTTGATTTTTTATTGTGGTAAAATATACATAGCATAAAACTTACGAGGATGGCTATTTGTAAGTGTACAGTTCGGTGGTGTAGTGCATTTATGTACATTCACACCCTTGGGGAATCGTCCCTACCCCCATCTCCAGAGCATACTGTGACATCTGTCCCCATAAGCACCGAGTCTCTGTCCATAATGCCCCAGTCTCGCGTTCATGGCCCTTCTCCTTTCAGAAAGTGCTTTCTTTAAAGTTGGTATAAATGCCTGAAGTTGAATCCTGTCTGATGTAATGTGGTGTAGTAACAGTGTACCCATTCGAATCTGACTCCCTCATCCTCAGGAAGCAGGGAGCTGTGTTTAGTGACTGGTGGCATCCACCTAGGGGCATCTGTCCCAGGCCTGCTCACTCTCGCCTGTCCTCAAGGGACTTGGGTTCCCAAACCTTGCACTAAAAGTGAGCCTGGGCACATGGGTTCTGGGCATCGTGACCCTGCCCTCCTCGTCTGTGGGGCCAGGCCACCTCTGTATGGGGTCACCAGCTGCTGCTTTCAAGAAGTTGGAAACTGAGACCTGGTTGCTGAGGCTCTGAGGTGAACACTCTGGAAGGAGGTTGTCTTAGGCTTGAGGCTTCCGTAACAAATACCACAGACTGGGCGTCTGAAACAGTAGAAGATGATTTTCCCACAGTTCTGGAGGCTGTAAGGCCCAGATCAAGGAGTCGGCAGGGTGGGCTTCTCCCGAGGCCTCCCTCCTGGCCTCTCGCCTTCGTCTCTTCACATTGTTCCACATGAAGCCCATTCTGAGGGCCTCACTGGGCTGGAACTTCAGTGGGTGGGTTTTGGGAGGTCCAGCTTAGTGTACCATCGTGGGTGCTGCAGATCCTCAGGACCCCCGGTGTGTAAGAAAGGAACATGGAGTCGACCAGGCGGAGTGCAGGGGGTGGCCTGTGCTGCGTGGGGCCCCAGGGAGGTGGGTGGACACATTCCCAAGTTTTCAGGCATGGTTCCAGATGGTTTCCATTTCCTTGAAGACACTCAAGAGGGCCTCCCTTCCTTGCACTGGAGGGGCCCTGCCAGGTTTGCTGCATGGCCCTGCTCTGCCAGGGATGGAGCCAAGGGGAGTGTGGAGAGTCGTCAACTCGGGCTGCAAACGTGGGCCTCAGCAGCATTCTTCTGCACGGCCAGGCATGCTCCAGGCCCACAGAGAGGCAAGTCAGCAAACCAGCAATCTCCCCACACTTATGTCTTGCAGTTCTAATTCGTATTTGTTGTGCTTTGGGATCGTGATAATTGGGGTCATTTGCTGAAGACTCCAAAATAATCCCCCCTACTTTATGTTTTGGAAATGTAGTCTTTCAGGCAAACTGTGGTGCTCTCCCCCGTGTTTGTTAGAAAGGTTGGGCTAAATGTCACCCAGCCAGCAGCTTGCAAAGGAGCTCCGAGCAGTTGGTGGAATCTCAGTGGGTATTTCCCAACCATCTAGAACAAACAGAGACTGTATCCTCGCGTGTGCTAGGAACAGCTCAGCCCCATCCCATGGTTCCAGATGGTTTCCATTTCCCTGCGGATGGGGTGGGGTCTCCTGTTTAGAGTCCCAGCTCAGATGCCTCCCTGTACCTTCCCCCGCCTGGCTTGCGCCAGGGCCTCTGTCGCGCCTCTGTGGCAGCCTTATGCTGCAAGCCTGTCTCATCTTTTGAACTTGCCCTGGAAACGCTCTGTTAGATTCACAGAACAAAAACAGCCACTGAAGAATCGTATTTGAAATCCTACAAAGGAATTACATTTTGTTTTGCTTGAAAGAGTGCATAGTATTCTCCTTTGCAAGTAAGAAAACAGCAAGAGACAGATGTCTTTAGGCAACTATTTAATGAATAAATGAGAGTGATTGAATGGGAGCATTTAAATTGGGCATTTTCTGTGCAATATTAATTACACTGGATACATAGTAAGTTCCTTTTTCAAAGATAGTTCAAAGGCAAATGTCAATCTGGTTCTGCCCAGGTTACGTGTCTACGTACGTAAACAACTTCCAGATGAACAGAGCATCCGTTAATAAGCTTTTACTAATCTTGGCCACAGGCCCTATTGAATCAGCTGTGTTTGACCTCTACCACACTGGGCATAAGAAAATTCATTTAACGGTGGTGTGACTAAAGCTGATGTTGTAAATGGGCTATGTTGTACAGGCATTTCACATACACCCAGTTTTAAAGTGGGGCTTCTCCAGTGGGCCTCTAGGATCTGGAGCTTAAAATCTGGACCATGTTTTCTTTTGGCTACAAAATAAATGGCTTCTTGATGGAGCAGGCCTGTAGGGAGTCTGGGTCTCCTGGGAGTGCAGGACTGCTTTGGTGATGGGCATCACCCAGGCTCTGCGAAGCCTCTGAATGTGACTTGTGATGACCTACGTGGGTGATATATGTACACAGCTGTGCAGGAGCTGCCAGCAGCCACGGGGAGTATTCTTGATCTGCTGTGTCTGTCTCTTGTTTTCATGCTGGTATGCTCTCATCAGGCAAGAATGTTGTCTTTTCTAAAATCGTGTATGGGCCAGAAGGTGATGATAGGAGAGAAGCCATATACAAGCAACACTGTCACTTGGTGGGTTCAGGGCTTCTGGTCAAGAAGACTAAATGATGTAATGGAAACGGATGACTTTGGGCCATTTCATTTTACCGCATTGTACCTTGGTTTCATCACTTGTGAAATGTGGACCAAATAGATAATAAGGTCAGAGTGAAGATTTCTTTTATTTTCTTTTTTTTTGAGACAGGGTCCCGTTCTGTCTCCCAGGCTGGAGTGCAGTGGTGCAATCACAGCTCACTGTAGCCTTGAACTCCTGGGCTCAAGGGGTCCTCTTATCTCAGTCTTCTGAGTAGCTGGGACTACAGGCACACATCATCATTTCCCGTTGATTGTTTTTATTTTTTTGTAGGGATGGGGTCTTGCTATGTTGCCTAGGCTGGTTTCAAACTCCTGCTCTCAGGGGATACTCCTGTCTCACCGTCCCAAAGTGCTGAAATTGCAGGAGTGAGCCACTGCTCCTGGCACGATTCCATTATTTAATGTGTATAAATCCCCCTCCCAGTGCCTGACAGATGGATGGTGTTCAATACATGATAACTATCATCATCATGGTCTGTTGAATTTGGATCTATTTCTATTTTTTGTCCTTCTCTATTTCCCATTTTCTAGTATTCCAAGGGGTGGGCATCTTCCCTGTAGGGACAGTTTTCCTGGCAAGGCTGGAGCCCCTACACTGGGAGTGAGTCAGGAACTGTGTTCTTGCCCCTGTGCCGGCTGCAGAGTTCTGGATAAGATATTTGAAATTCCCTGACAATGGGGTGCTATATTAGGCTGTTCTCACACTGCTAGTAAAAACATGCCTGAGACTGGTTTATAAAGGAAAGGGGTTTAATTGACTCACAGTTCTACATGGCTGAGGAGGCCTCACAATCATGGTGAAAGGTGAATGAGGAGCAAAGTCACGTTTTACATGGCAGCAGGCCAGAGAGTTTGTATAGGGAAACTCTTCTTTATAAAACCATCAGATCTTGTAAGACTTAGGCACTACCACGAGGACAGCATGGGAAAGATCTATCCCCTATGATTCAATTACCTCTTACTGAGTCTCCCCCATGACATGTGGGAATTATGGAAGCTACAATTCAAGATGAGATTTGGGTAGGGACCCAGCCAGACCATATCAGGTGCAGACAGGGTCCTCTCCATGATGTCATCCGGTTCTAAATGTCTATTTGAGTTCTGCAGAGTATTCATATTCCATTTCAAAAATGGTTTTCCTCATGATTGAGCATTTACTTACTGTTGGATAGAAAATCAAATGCCACCCATCTTGGCCGGGAGTGATAAGAACAGTCTAGAAAGTTCTGCTTGGGAATTCCCCAAGTCCTGTGCTTCAGTTTTGCCTCAGGACTTGGTGCCTGGACATTTGTGCCCTTTCTCAGGTAAGCCCCACCAGATGGAGGGCATCAGTTCCAGGAACAGGAGGAGCTTCCCCAGCTTATGGGAGGGAAACTGAGCACGCTGTCTTCATAGAGGTGGCGTTTGCAATTGGGAATATTCTCTTTAAAAACTCAGAAAATGTCTAGGTAAAATAAGTAAGTGGTGTGATTTTCCAGCAAGCTTTAAAAAAAAGCCAAAACAAAACAGTGCATATTCTTATCCCCCAATCTTAATACCTCTGAAGACACAAAGCATGAAGCTTTCATTTTCAGAGTTTAAGGAAGAAAAATTGCTCCATGATGGCTATTACTGTAAAAGTTGAAGAGCTGGGCATCCCATTTGTACGTGTGGTGAGCTTTGAAGCTAAAATGCAGGGGGATAGAGATGCTGTCCCCAAGGGAGTCCCGCAGGGTTGCTCCCAGATACCAAGGCTTGGCTGGCAGCATGCAAGTCTGATTCGGTGGCCCTGATCACTGTAGGTGTGTTCACCGGGGAGAGGAAACCGGGGAGGGAATGCAGGGGCCATGGGGTCCAATCCTCGTGTTTCTGAACAGAACCTGTACTTTGCTAGACCATAAACTCCCACTGCACGTTTGTCCCTGGGCTGCTTCAAAGTAGTCACCATTCCCTGGGATGCTCTCCCTGTGCCTCAGCTTGGAGTGGGTGGGGGCTGCAAACCCCTGGTTCTCGTGGATCCTTTGTGTTTGGGGAGCATCAGTCAGGATTATGGTCCTCTTGCCACCGACATACAGAAAGGAGGCATGATGACCACACTGCGCAGCTACTTTGGCCCTGGCTGTGGAGACTCGTGCACCCTTTTCACCTCTCTCCATCAGAGAATGAAATTAAGTAACAACCTAAGATGCAGAGCGTCTGGTCTGGACTTAGGTCTTCATTCACTGCTTCCAGCTGTGCTTTTTTAGGCCGGCTTCTGAGCGCCTCCAGTTTTTGGTTTGCTCGCTTGTGAAAGGAGAGTAAGAGAGCACTGCTGGCTTCCCTGGATGGTGGTGAGAACAGAGAGGGGTCATGGGCATGCAGCGTGTCTCAAGCTGTTCTTGTCCTAGGAATGCAGCTAGGATGGGTGGGTCTAAGTTTCAACCCACGTAGGTCTGAAAGGTTCAGACCCACCTGGGGGACCCGAGGGTAGTTCCCTGGGGCTCTTTGGGCCTGAGGACCTGCAGAGCACCCTGAAAACAAACCTAACAAAGTAAAAAAGTGGGATGCTTGAGAAACATCTGGACACATGAGTGGAGGAGGGGAGGCAGGGACTCTGAGTGTGGGCTTGCAGCGTCTCTCCTGGTGGTCCAGCCACTCCTCACTCTCACAGCATACAAGCTGGGGAGGTCGCGGCAAAACTAACAGTGAAGAATGGCCTCCCGAGACCTTGGTGGGGCGGCCTCCTCTGAGCTGGCTGAGGGCGGGGGGTTCCAGCAGGGCACAGTCTCGAAGGGCCCAGCAGGGTGGCAGCCTGTCATGGAGCACAGCACCTGCCCAGAGTGGCTCCCACACCAAGCCTGGTGGGAGCTGGGCCTGCTGGGGACAGGGCCAGCTGCTCTGGAGTCAGGCAGAAGCAGCGTCCTTGGCGTGGAGGCCAGTGTCCTCCAGAGGAAGTAGAACCAGAGATCTCACAGGCACGAGGGGAACAGATGGGGTGAGGGGCCAGGGGATGTGACTGCTGCAGCTTGCCCCAGCGGAGGCCAGGAAGGCAGAGGAGGCAGATTGGGAGTCCCTGTGGGTACCCGAAGAACTGGTTTACAACTCTGTCCCCCTGGGACACCAAAGAATTTTGGGGGAGAGTGGAAGCCCTGCAGGTTGAGGGGAGGGCTAGAGCAAGAGAAAGTAAATGTCATTCATTTTTCTTCATAGCCATTCTCCTTGTAGAATCTGCTTAGAATAGCCTTGGGAAGCATGCATTATGACAGTTACCTGTTATTGATATCTAGTTCTCAAAACACTTTCCCCTTTTCAGAAACGTGTGATTATGCGTTCTTGTCACCCATGGCACGTGCGTGCCTTCTTGATCACTCACAGACATCGAAAGGGCTTTTTCTTCACTCTCAGGGCTGGAAAGAGTGAAGGGCAGGCGTGTTGCCACAGCTGGTCCATAGAGCAATCTACTGGCAAATGCTTATGTGGTTTCATTAGCTGGGAGTGGGGAGGATGTTAGGAGGGACAGGACTCTTCTCTGTCTTAAAGGACTTGCAATCTGGTTGGGAAAATAAACCCTACACAGGCAAAAAACAATTAATATTTGCCTTGATATCCAGAGCTGGCTGGCTCCATGGACCCTAGCACGCTTTTCAGAGAAAGGCGGTGCTGCCGTCGCATATCTCCCCCGGTAAGAGAGAGCGATGTGTTTGCCATCACCCTGAGCACAGAAGGCACAGTTTCCCTGGAATTCTAATAGCACTGCAATGAGGCTTAATATATCCATTTTTTAAAAATGGTCATGCGTCTGTTTGAAAACAAACCTGAGAGTTAGCTGTATATAAATGCATCATCTATTTCTCGTGCCCACACTTGCTTTATTGATAGATTTCCTTTTTCTGCCCCCTTCTTTTTGGTGCATGTTTAACACTCACGTTATTGCAAAGCAGCCTGGGATGAGCCACTTAGGACCATCTCGGCTCCCATTACACTTATGTCTCTTAGTTAAGGATGCTAATTCTCCTTGCAGCTCCTCATCTGCCTCTGTACTCCGCTGGATTCTTAAGGCGATGCTGAACAGTTCTCTCTCCGCAGCCATCTCCCACCCCTCATGGTGGCAGCGGGGACTTTCCTTGCGCCACGCCAGTCCCTCAAACCTGCCCCCCTCTCTGTCCTCCCATCCATTCAGCTTCTATTCAACGGGGACTTCTCATGGGCTAAAGTCCAGATTCCCCCCTTGAACTGCTCGCCAAGACTTCGCTTCAAGCCATTCATGCTGGGTGCTCTGGGAGCCTGATGCTTTGGAGAATGAACGAGGAAAGGAACCAAGCAGGCGTGCTTTGCTGTGTTATAGTTGGGTCACTTGACAGACAGTGCCGTGTGTGAGACAGGAGGGCATGTGGACAAGCTGGGACATCATCACAGCCTCCCTCCCATGGCCTGGTGTCCCTTCATCCCACAGAGGCTAGAGCCCCCACTCGCAAAGGCCTGGCCCCGCACACGTGGTGAAGAGGCCGTGGGTAGTTTCCTCTGGAAGCAATTTGTTCTCTTACTGCTGCTGGGGTTTCCTCCCTCTGAAAGTTCTGCTGATTTTTCACTGCACCACAAACCCCAACGCAGCGCATGCCAGGTCCCTGGCTTCCTTGCTGTGAGTGCCGCAGCCTCCTGCATGCCCCCAGGCCGTGGCTGCAAAAAGGAAAAAGGAAAAAAAGATTCGTGTTTGTTACAGTAGAACCCAAAGCTTGACAGTCGGATGCCATCCCCATAATTGAAGTATTTATGTGTCTAAACATTTCACTGTCGTTGGGAAGTAAACACACGGTGCGTATGGGTGAGTCTGTCACACCCAGGCAGCCGCCTGCTCAGGCAGGCCCACACCTGTGACCTTGTGGCTTTTCTTGGAACACTGGAAGGATTGTCTCTCCTTGAGTTCCCATTAATTTAAATCAAAACTAAAGTTCACGGTGTCTCTCTTCTGCTGGTGACATTTTCCACTTCACACGTTGTCAACCTCATTTAACATGTTGCTACTCGGCCGAAGTCACCTCTGCAGGAAACACCCAAACAGAAGCAGCTTTCCTCCTGCCCTTCAGACTCCCCGCTGCTGCTGTGATGTCTGGGGGTGTATTTAAAACTTAGAGACTGTAGGCTGGGTGGAGGGCTGAGAAAGGTGGGCCACTTGAGGCCAGGAGTTTGAGAACAGCCTGGCCAACATGACGAAACCTACAAAAATTAGCCAGGCTGGTGGTGCACACCTGTAATGCCAGCTACTCAGGAGGCTGAAGCACTAGAATTATTGCTTGAGCCCGGGAGGCAGAGGTTACAGTGAGCCAAGATGGTGCCACTGCACTCCAGCCTAGATGACAAAAATAAAATAAAATCAAACTCAGATTTCTGGCTTCTCTGTAAAGATGGACCTGCCCGCCAGGCCTGCATTTCCCCGTGGCCTTCACTGGGCCTGCACTCCCCACGTGCCACCCTCCTCGCAGCCAGAAAGATGTCTTTTCAGCATCCCGGGGCAGAACAGGCAGCCCCTCTAGAAGACTGAGAGGAGACCTGCCTCTGAGTGGAGCCAGGCTGCAGTTAGGACTGGAAGCGGGGAGAAATGGCAGCTCTGGAATCAGACAGCCTGGGTTTCAGTGGCAGCTCTACTTGTCTGATCTTGGGAAAAATTCCTACCTTCTCTGAGCCTTGGTATGCTCATTTGCAAGATGAGAAAAATGATAGCTTATATGATGGTTGTGTAAATGTTGTGAAGGCAGGTCTGTGAACAAGGCCCTGACAGTGTTGGTGAGAAGTGAATAGATGGGAGCCGTTGCCTATGATGGCTTCCCTGGTGTGAGTCATGGCAGACCCACAACAGTGCACTCGGAAGGCAGACTGCTTTCCTTGAATTCAGTGAAGATGCCTGACCAGACAGGAAAGCAAGACCCAAGGAGTACTTCCAAAAACTGTCTTTTTACAGTAGGACAGAAATGCATTAAGGCACATGTATTTATCTGCTAGGTCAGTTGTCATGAAGAACCACAGACTGGGTGGTTTAAATCACAGCAGTTTGCTGCCCAGTTCTGGAGGCTGACGTCCAGGATCAAGTTCCCGGCAGGGTTGCTCCCTGGCGAGGCTGTGAGGCGGAATCTGGTCCAGGCCTCTCCTCTGGCTTCTGGTGGCAGCTTTGGGTGTCCTTGGCTTGTGGCCCATTGCCCTCATCTCGGCTTCATCTGCACTCGGCGTTCTCCCTGTGGGGGCTTGTGTCCAGAGTTCCCATTTCGGTAAGGAAACCAAGTTATATTGGAATAAGGTCCTTTAAGGACCTCACCTTAACCATGTTCATTATAATGATCATAGTTAATTGATTATATCTGCAATGACTGTATTTCCATATAAGGGCATACTCTGAGGTGCTGGGGGTTAGGACTTCAACATGGGAATTTTGGGAGATACAATGAAGCCCATAATAGAAATGCTGTGACTAAAACTGTAGGATGCATCTCTCCTTTTTCCCCTAACAAATGGAGGCTTTGTCACCTGGTTTTCTGTCTTCTCTCTGTCCTGGTTCTGCTGTCTTCCAAATGGAGGCTTTGTCACCTGGTTTTCTGTCTTCTCTCTGTCCTGGTTCTGCTGTCTTCCTGGGTGCCTTCAGCATGTGCTTGATGGCCTGGCCTCTTGGTGCCCTGACTGTGATCTTCCCAGTGGCCGCTTCTCCACTTCGTCATGCATCCTCCACCTCGCCCCTATCAACTTGATGCAGTGTCATTGACAAGATCATAAATATGCATGTGCCTCTCTCTATATATAATTTTTTACCTTTCCAGCTTGCCCGATCAGCTACTTCCACTAAAACCATCTCTGACCCTCAGAACCCCCTGTTCATCCATTCTTTAACTTTTTTCTTATCCATTGGCTTCTCTTCTTATTTCTCTCCATATCTACCTTAGATTCCTTGGTTCCTCAAAATTTAGCTCTTATCACATCACCTCCCTGTCCCTCTGCAAATTTGTCTGTCAGAACCCCAACTCTAGATGAACTCATCAATACATTTTCTCTGTGCCTGTACCCCGGCATTCAGGAGGTCAGGGAAAAGCACACAATAGGGCAGATAAGAATCCTGATAAATACACGCACACCAGCCTCGAATGGGGTCTCCACCCTGCGGAGCAATCCTGCTGTATTTCCCTGGCCAGGAAGTTATCCGGCACTCCTTAATGACTATTTTGAACTTTCTTTACCATTCTGGAAATTCTGAAGCCTCATTAATATCTGTCTTTTCAGAAGAGAACCATGATTCTTTTCTGGGAAAATTAAAGCATTTAGAACTAGAACTCTGCAATGTCCTGCTCCCAAATCAATACACCTGACCGAAAACCTCATCCACTCCTCCGAGCCTCATTCCTCATAGAGGAGGTCCTAAGTGCAAAGTCCTTGACAGAGGCTCATCTTTCTATCTGTATTCTGGATTGCATCTCCTCCCACTGCTGAGAGATGTCTCAGTGCTGATTATTCTTTCCTGCTGCAAATTCCCCCTCCCAGTTCATTCCTGTCATCATTTCCATATGGTTGAGCTTTTAGCACGCTTATCGAAGAAAGGAATTTCTCATAATCTCACATTTTTTTTGAGTTACGACCTAATCTCTCTTTTCTTCTACACCAAATTCCTGGAAAGAAGTGTATATAATATAGGTGAGTATTTCTTTTTAGCTACCAAGACATGTAATTTATTCTACTCACATGTAAGGTTTACATTTTCATAGCTGAGTTTTTAAAGCTCGTGGTAAAATACACACAACAAAAAATTTATCATCATGACTATTTTTAAGTAAACAGTTCAGCAGTATTAAGTGTATTGACATTTTTGTGCAACTGATCTGCTGAATTCTTTCCATCTTGCAGAACTCAAACTCTAGACCCATGAAGCAAAAAGTTTCCATTCCCCCTTTCTCCAGCTCCTGGCAACCACCATTCCGCTCTCTCTTTCTGATTTGGCTACTCTAGATATTTCATGTAGATGGAATTGTATAGTATTTGTCTTTTTGTGATCGGCTTATTTCATTTAATGGCCTAATGGTTCTTTTCTGGGAAAATTAAAGCATTTAGAACTAGAACGCTTCAATGTCCTGCTCCCAAATCAATTCACCTGACCGAATACCTCTTCTGCTCCTCCGAGCCTCATTCCCTCTCTTTGCACTTAGAGGAGGTGTTTGTCCTCTTGGCAGAGGCCCATATTTCTATCTGTACTCTGGATTGTGTCTCCTCTCACTTCTGAGAAATGTCTCACTATTGATTTTTCTTTCCTGCTCCAAATTATCCCATTAGAATGGCCACTAATGGAAAAAAAGAGAAATACAAAATAATAACTGTTAGGAAAGATGTGGAGAAATTAGAATCTTTAGGTACTTTTTGTAGGCATTTACAAACATTAGGTACTGTTTGTAGGAATGCCCTTTCTCTGTTGAGTGTAACTAGCTCATCCATGTTGTACCATGTGTCAGAATTTTCTTTTGGGGGCTAAATAATATTCCATAGTAGTATATATGTATCTACACTACATTTCTATGTTTTGTTTATCCATTCATTCATCAGTGATGGACACTTGGGGTGCGTCCACCTTTTTGCTATTGAGAATAATGCTGCTGTGAACATGGATGGAGACATATCTCTTCAAGGCCGTGCTTTCACATCATTTGGGTATACACCCGGAAGTGGGATTACTGGATTATATGGTAATTCTATTTTAAATCTTTTGAGGAAGTTCCATACTTACCTTTTTCATAGTAGCTGTACCATTTTACATTCCTACAAACAGTACTTAAAGATTCTAATTTCTCTACATCTGTGCTAACAGTTATTATTTTGTATTTCGCTTTTTTTCCAGGAGTGGCCATTCTCATGGGATAAAGTGGTCTCTCACTGTGGTTTTGATTTGCAGTTCCCTGACGATTAGTGGTGCTGAGCGTCTTTTCATGTACTCATTAGCTGTTTGTATACCTTCTTTGCAGAAGTGTCTATTCTTTGTCCATGTTTTAATTGCGTCTTTTGCCCTTTTTTTGTTGAGTATAACTAGCTCAATTTTTTTCATCATTTCCTCCTTGCTCCTCAGTGCATTCCATTTTGGATACTGCTAATATCAGCAAAATAGCTCTCTGGAAGGCCACTAGGAATCCGCATGCCATCATGTGTGATGGGCATTTTCAGCCTTCATTTCGTACTCTCAACCTTTGACGTGGCTGATCTCTCCCTTCTTCCCACTGGCTTCCCTGATGGCAGCTGACATTCCCCCATGACCCTGCCTTCTTTTCAGGCTACTCCTCCGGCTCGTCCTCTTCAGCAGGCTCCTCCATCCTGTGCTCCTTCACAATTGGCTTTCAGGTCTCCTTCACACTCTCTCTTGCCCGGCGATCTCACATTTGCTTGTGGCTGGTGCCAGCTACAAGCGCCATTTACATTCCAATCATCCCAAAATTTAAATTTCTAGATCAGCTTGCTTTTCTGAATTCCAGATGCAAATGATCTAATTGTCCATTAACATTCCCACTTGCACTTCTTAGGGGCACTCTGCTAATCCTCTCTCTCTGCGGCTGCTTGTTGCTTCCTGTCGTGGACTGTAGTTTTCTTCCCCAGCACTTGCCAGTTTACAGCCAGTCACTCCGGGTGGCCAGTGTCTTTCTCCTTCCTCGCCTGTAACCTCACAGGACTGCAGGAGCCTTGCTTGTTTGCCTCACCACTGCATCCCAAGGATGTAGCAGAGTGCCTGACACATGGTAGGTGCTGAACAAATATTTGTTAGATAAATGATTGATTGGAAGGAAAAAACCAACATCCTTGATGGTAAACATTTGCTTTACTTTTGCATACTTCTAAAAGTATAATCTAGAGGTTCAGTGCCTCCTGCAAACAGATAGAAAAGGGCACATCCGGTGGCTATAGGACCACTGATGATAGGAGCTGGAAGCAGATGACATCTTCCAGAAGTAGAAGGCTTGGACTGGTATAACCTTGGCAGATCATAAAATGTCAATTACCCTCCAATCCAACTTCTTAAATAGAGCCACATACAAGTTTCCTAGCCTTTTATGTATCGAAAAGATATTATCATATAAATTTTCTTCTCTGCCAATGTGTTCTATATATTGTTTTTTGTCTTTTTGTTTTTTTCCTTTTTGTGGAGAACGGGGTCTTGCTATATTGCCCAGGCGGGTCTTGAACTCCTGGGCTCAAGCTATCCTCCCGCCTCCGCCTCCCTAAGAGCTGGGATTACAGGCATGAGCCACAGCGCCCGGCGCCAATATATTCTATATATATCCACTAAAATACTTTGATATTTGAAGAAAGTTAGATATTTGAAGTTATATCCATGTTTCATTTCTGTGGAACACTAATTCTAACAAGGTGTTTGACTCAGATCCCAGTTCCTCCCCAGTGCCGTGACAGCCCCTGCTTGGCCCTGTGACCAGGCTCACTGCTGCTGTTGGCCCCTGTGAGTCCTTCATGATCTCAAGGGCCGTTGACCATGCTGGGTCTTCCATGTAGGATGCTTCCCCCCAGCTCTGAAACAGTGTCAGTTCCCTTGGTTACAAGGGAAATGTCACATCTGCTAAGAAGTCTTCCTTGACTAGTCTATTGAAGGTAGCAGTCTCCCTCTTGTTTATTTATGGAGACAGAGCCTCACTCCGTCACCCAGACTGGGTGCAGTGGCACGATCCTGGCTCTATTTATGGCATCAGTTGTTAAAATTCCCCTCATCACCGACCACAGTCTGTAAAAGGAGTTTGTCTTCGCTAGCTTTTTAGCCACCTGTATTTCTTTAGGAACATAAACTCCATGAGGATAGGGTTGCCTTTCTCATGAACCATCAAATCAGCAGCATCTGGAAAGGCACTGGGCACAAGGACATTGTCATGATAAATATTCATTTGATGAATAAAAATATATTAAGATGAGCATTTAAATCCATTGGAAGAATGTGAAAAGCTGGAGAATTAAAATTAATTTTTAGAAAGCAAAAGCAATATCACAGGCTTGACTTTTAAAATGACTGAGTTTTAGATGCATGTAGACATTTTGTGAAAATGAGACCTAAGATTATAGATGTAAAAACTCTCCCAGTGACAAGGGAGGCCAAATTACGGCTTTACTCTGTGGTGCTGAGGCATACTTGAAGCCACATGGTAACCATGACATGTACCGTGGGCTAAATTGTGTCCCCTAAAATTCGTATGTCAGAGCCCGAATCCCCAACATGATGGGATTGGGAGGTGGGGCCTTTGGGAGGTAACAAGGTACAGATGAGGCAAGGAAGGTGGGCTTTCTGATGGGATTAGTGCCCTTTTAAGAAGAGACACCAGAGTGTCTTGCTGTACCTCTTTGCCTCATGAGGACATAGCAAGTAGGTGGCTTTCTGCAAGCTGGAAAGCGTCCTCACCAGAACCCAGCCACGCTGGCACTCTGACCTTGACTTACAGCTTCCGAATTGTGAGAAAGTATATTTGTGCTGTTTAAGCCACCCTGTTAATGGTACTTTGTGATGGCACCTGAGCTAACAAATATAGTCTGTCTTCTGAAAGTGGTATTTTTACACACTGATATTCATTAAAATGAAGGAAGTGTTTGCACGCCAACTATATTTGGGTCAAAGTATCAAATCAAGTCCGAAAAAGCAGTAAAAAAATACTCAACATATTTTTTTCAGCCTCTCATGGAAACAGGAAAAAGGAGAAGCATGATCTTATTTTACCAGAAAGGTAAAAAAAAAAAAAAAAAAAAAAAAAAAATCCTCCCTCCCCGTCTCTTGCATTCCTGATATTCAGCTTCCTTCAATGCTCATGTTAGCTGCTCCTCACTCCCTGCAGCCTGGCTCATCCGCTCCCACCAAAGTGTGTTTCAGAGCCTGACACGAGGACCACAGCAACCTCCCCTTTCCCAGCGTGTCCCTAGCTCAGGGAGGTGCTCTCCTGCAGAAATGGGGTTTTTCCCTGTGAGTCTGTGGATGAGCCCCAAGAGGAGACTTCACAGACTCCCTGCCGGCAGCGTTTCTCAGCTACTAGAGTCTTCCATCCTGCACTGTTCCAGTGGCAAGCCCGACCTGTGACTCGAACATCCTTTTGTTTCCGGTCCATGTCTAGGATGTCCTGTGAATTTCTCAAGTTTATAATAGAAACAAGCTGTTTAGGCATCTTTAAAGCTGAACTTTTAGTCCTTACAGTAGCCACCGACCTCCTGAGGGACCTGGCAGGTGGGGGTTTGAGCGAATCCAAGCTAATTTGCCGTCATTGCCCCCTGGCCTTCCAGGAAGACTCCAGTTCCTTCAGAAAGTGGATGTCAGTGGAAGTGGGGGCAAAGCATAGCATTTGGTTGGCAGCATTTTGAGGAAGGGTTTAGATTTTGTGTTAAGTGAACTTACGTATTGTTTATGTGTGAGTCATTGAGCTTAAAAACAACCTACGCCTAGAAAACAACACTAAAAATATTACCCAAGTGTTACTGTGCACTACAGCTCCAATATTTTCTCATTATCAGCTCAAATAAACACAACTCAGAATAAAAAAGTCATTTAAAGCAATTCAAATATTTCATGTATCAAGGCAATATCAGGAAGGTGGCTGGGAGTCCATTCTTGAGGCATAGCGGGAATCTTTTACCTTTCCTTCTCCCCATTTCTGCCCCTCTTGGTCTCTTCCACAGGGAGAGCTCCCTGAAACTCTCACTCTTTCTTCATTTTTCCTTTCCTGTGCCTCACAGCTGCACACCACCTTGTACTTGGCAATGCAGCATTTCACTCAGGGGGAATGGGTCTCCTTCTGTCTTCCGTCCTGTTTTTCTTTTTTCCCATCAATTATGATTTGCCTTTTCAATAGATAAGAAGAAGGTGATGTGTACTCATGTACATTAAAAACTCCTGTCTCCATTGCCTATGAACGGCAGCATCAAACCACTGTGCAAAATGAGCGTGAATTTATAGCAAGAATAGGAAAGTTCAGACTTGGAAACAACCATCGTAGTTTACAAGTTGGGTCTTGAAGTATTTTCTGCCTCAGATCTGTTGCTTACTAGCAATGTGAACTAGGTAGCAAATTAACCTCTCTTGAAATGTTAGCAGATTCACTTGTAAAATGAAGTTAGTGATGAAGGCCAAGGGTGTGGATAGCCGTGCACTTCCGTTTCTCCTTATCTGATCATCTCGCTTTCATGGGGAGATGTTTAATCTTGGAGTTTAGCACTCTCCGGTCACGTGGTGAAATTGGGTTGGATGAAAGATGAATGCAAGGAGCAGTGCTTCTGCCGCATCCACTATCACGAGCTTTGAGTGAGAGGGTTCATGTAGCGCATCCAGGATGGTGTTTCATACACAGTGGGAGCCCGTGAACTGAGTTGTCTGCCTGCTCTGTACCTCCTCCTCTTAGACCCCCTCACCTTGCATTTTCTTCTTCGCTTATTGCAGAGGCACTCAAGCATATTAGTTCACCCGTTCTTCCATCAACTTTGAACGAGGGCTAATAATATTCATTTTGCAGATGAAGACATGGAGGAAGAAAGGAAAATAACGAAAAGAGACAAGAGGAAAAAAGTGCTCCGGTGATCAGTTTTCCTCGTTTCTTTTTTTTTTTTTTTTGAGTTGAGAGGGTCAACTCACTTTCTGCCCCCACTTTCCTTGAAAATTCCAGTGAACAATCTCTTCTGTATTTCCAGGCTCAGGGTCCGCACCAAGTTAGATGAGTCTTGATCCTAAAGGATTAACATGAAACAAGCTGGCAAATAGAATATAGATTAATGTGGTCCAGTCATACCGTTGAATGTGATTACTGGAATTGGAGAATCTGGTGAATGGAATGAGATCTCCCAAACCTCCTTACCTGTGGGAGATGAGTAAGTGAATTAGTCACCGTTCTGTGCACAAGGCTCTGCTGTCTCTGTCTGCGTCCTGACCTCCTCTTCCTATGAGGATTCCGGTTGGATTGGATTAGGGCCACATGTAGGACCTCATTTTAATGTGATTATGACTCTAAGACCCTGTCTTCAAATACACTCATATTCTGAGGTGTTTGGGGTTAGGGCTTCAAAATATGAATTTGCAGGAAAGGGAAATACAGCTTAGCCTGTAATAGCTATAGGGCCAAAATGTATTTTGTTAGCTTATTAATGTGTGAACATTTTTGATGTTTAAAGAAGCTCAATGTTTTTAATGCAACAGACCCTGCAGAAGGTCAGTAACACCAGTGTGAACCTAAATCACATCCCAGAGAATTGCAGTCACCTTTGCTGTGTGCCTCTTAGGGCACTGTGGAAAGGGAGACTCATTAAAGTTCGTTTTGGTTATGATTTAATGATGAACCAGGGATGGATTACTAGCTTACAAAGTCAGCTCGGAAAGTTGAACTTGGGGTGATTATTTTCTGAGCTTGAATCTTGTAAGCATGACTTGAGAGGGAAACCAATAATGCTTAAAAGAGAATAAACACTATTTTCTGAATCCAATGGAAAGAAAAGGAAGTAGCTCAGTGTTTAAGGCAGAAATATTTGAGTCCACAGCATATTCTAAGGCCAGAGTGTTTACAAGTGCTTTGTTCTAACATGTTCAAGAGTTGTTTGTCACCATCTTTATGAGAACCTATTGGATATTTTTAAAAAGTCCTCAGGTTATTTTGTTTCTATGAGCACTGTTTCACAGTGGCGTAAGCTATTTGGGGTTGGAGATTTTCTGCTTCTGCTTTTTTCTTTGAAAGCAGAAACTAGAAGCACAGGAGCTCAAATTGTTCTGAAGAGC